GGTATCATGAAAGGTTCATGCATCTCAATATAGCAGACGATACAATGCCAAGGTCAGTGATAAGAAAGGTACATTACGGTAAAACTAAGTTGGAAGGCGCCAGGATATCGAATACCAAACAGGTGGTGACGGAGGTTTCCTTTTCTCAGATTAAATAAAAGTTATTTTGTCATTACTGTATCATTATGAAGGAATAAATCAGTTGCCGTATTGTTTTAGTCGAACCTGCTTAATGGCATTGCCATTACCACAGACCCTATCATTACAGTTACCTGTATATTCGAAATAAAACCGTATGTGTATATTACTGGCGACGCTACACAGGCTAATCAAAGATCGCGAAAACCCTGGATGTTTTGTATTAAAAGGAAAAAGAATGAATGTTTTGGCTTGAAATTTATCATCGACAGATCGAGAGCAGACTGAATCTTAAAAACAAAAGTCGTCTTATATACAATAATTATTCTCATCTCATTATTATTAATATTATAATCATAACAAACATCATCAACATCATCATCATCATCATCATCATCATCATCATCATCATCATCATCATCATCATCATCATCATCAATGCTTTTATTCGCTTTCTACAGTAGTGCGACAGTCGGCCGGCGGTGATTAGCCGATCGTCAGCTGAGGGCTTGACGACAGCAACACGACGCCGTATACCGTACTGATTGTCGGTAACAGTCCAATTGCGTCGTCGTCGTAGAAAATGTTCTTTCGCACGGGTCTCGTCTAGTTTAGGTCTACATTAAAACACGCCGACGACCGTCGGTGGACAGAGTGTGCGCCAGGCTTTAATTATGTTCAGAAAAATGGGGCAACACGGAAAAATGCACAATCTGACGTCAGGTGTATCACGTCCAGGTAGTTTTAGCCGTTCTCGAGTCTATTCTTACTTTTATGCAGTAGGCCTATAAGTACCGGTATATATATTATATGTACACTTATTATATACAAGATATATATATCTGTCTCTTATACACATCTAGATGTGTATAAGAGACAGTTGGGCCTATAGAGCTAAATACTCTATGTGATATAATCAATGAAAACATTTTAATGATACACAGGTTGAAACAAATTAAATTTTTACTGATTTAGAAATATTCTACTACGAAAAAAAGCTTTGGGTAACAGCCAACTTTGGCCAAATGCTTACGCACGGTTCCATGTCTGTTAATTGAGAAGATTTTTTTTGCTCATTTAAATTTTCAATTTAATTAAATAGGCCTTGGCTTATACATAGTAAGCAATTCGATATTGACTTGTTACATTTTATAAGCTCAACAAAGATAGTTTGTTGCAGAATGGTACATCGGCAGTCGGGTCAAAATGTCCAAACTAGTTTAACGTTCTCATAGGCCTACTAACAATTACGGTATTGTTTTATTCCATTTCTCTTGTTTCATCATCTTGTAAAGTGAATCATTGGTCATTTTATATTTTAATTTTGAGAACCTTCATTATCAATTTCCTCGGGAATTATATATTATCGCTATTCCTTGCTCTGTTAAATTTATTCGTAACTCATTGTGTTGTGTTAATTATCTTGCAATATTTAAATATTTTCAAGAAACTCGAGAACGGAAGTGTAAAACATTTACATTTAAATAGGCCTACTGTGTATACAAAGCACTAAAACCAAAGATAATAAACAGCAGAAGATATAGCAGCTTCCCAATATAGTGGAACATCCGTTCAAAAGGCATTGTGGGTACAAGGAGAGCAATTTTACTGAAACCGCGCGGCGGCGCTATATAAAAATAATAAAGGCGCTGCTCTTGTTCGCCTGTTTCCTTTAGTTTCTCCACTTAGTAAAATGTTCAAATTTTACTGCAACCGCAGGAGGACGAATGTTCCATCGATTTTAATGCAAATACGCGGAGCAGCTCATTCTTCTGCTATTTAACTTCTTGGCTAAAACCTAAAGCCAAAAAAGGAAAATATAAACAATAAGCCTAATATTGAATATTGAAATTAACTCTTACAAGTTCTGAAATAATCTCTTCCATTAACTTCTAAATAAACAGTTAAAAAAAGACAATCTTCAGCTTACAATATCTCTATTCATCCATAATATAATATCAATATCACTAATTATTTTAATTTGATGTTTCAAAAAAAGTAAGAATACAGCCTTCTACATATAGCACCAAATATATATTATATAAGACTTGCATGTAACTGGATCAATAATTATAATGAAAGATTCGTGTTTTTCTTGTATAACCTTGGAGAGGCATCTGCTACTAATATACTAATAGTTTCTTTAATATTAGAATTATCGACGGCTTTGTGTGGATTGTCTTGTGTTATTGTCATTCTCATTACCCTACTGAATGGGTGATAAGATTGGCTCGCTTCCAGTCAGCTATTAATTTATGATAATTTACTTAAAGTTTACAAGGTACTTGAATGATGTAATTAAGTTTCAAAGATTCACTGCTCTGGCACTACCTTATAGCGATGAACTTTCTATTCTTTTGCTAGATGGCAAGATGTAACCAGCAGGATATATGACTGATGAATGGATTTAAATCTTGAAAAATTAATTTGCGTTCTTATATCTCTGTCTGGTATATGGATTTTCCATATGATAATACTTTAAATGAAATACAATCAAATCCAGTCCAATTTTGAAAAATTTTGAAAAAAGTACCATAGCTACTTCGGCCCATGGGAAATTCGGCCTTACCTTAAATCTGGGAATTTTCCCTCCCCCATACCCACTCATTGACGAACAGTGTATCATTAAGCGAATTGACTAAACTTGCAACAGTGACGTCACTTTGCCAGTGTGTTACTTGCACCAATCAGGTGCCTGTAAAACTTTTTACTGGAATGGACGGATCCCTGGCGCTGAATGCAATTTGAATAACAAGAATAAACCAGAATTTGTCATACTTCTGCTTATTTTACTCATAATGACCCATTTGACAATTAAATAGACCTATGCAGAGGGCTACAAATAGGCCTACATTATAGGCATACTTAGTTTATTATCAAAATATAGTAATCTATTGCTGCTGTGACCATTCCCTTGGCCAACCATAAGCCAGTGTTGTTGTGCTCCAAAAGAGAACAAAGCAACGTCGATAGTGCGTTCAGACCTAGTGCTGTTCCCGTTTATACAGTGAAAAGAGTTGCCTCCAATCGAAATAAAATTTGCCACAAAGCTTCAGTGGCCCTGTAAGGCGACACTTATCACTGTCATAATCTTCTACTTCTGTATCGTTGTTCCATGAGCCTGTATCTACGCCATGCTGGCGGGTAGACAAGAACGTTGGCAACATTAATATTATAAATTCAATGTATTATGTTTGTGACAGTAGAACATTTGGATGATATGTTTAACCATCAATATTTTTACTATGTTTCAATACGCCTACATGACCATGTTTCAACTTTGCTAATTGTATCGTATTTGAAAGCTCCTAAAAGCATTAGTTAGATAAAATTAAAACTAGAATCAGCAGTTGTGGTTGCTTAGTGGTGTCGTCAGCCAATCGAATTTCCAATGTTGACTTCGAATCAACTAATTTGTGATTTATATGAAACTTGGCAATGTCGACTTGTTTCTGTTTACGGTTTCTCGGAGTAGGCTATGCATAATTCCTGAATTTTCAAAAGCAAGAACGGAGAAAAAACTTTGGGGATTTTTTTCGGCGACTGGCTGACTGCTTCACCCTTTGAAAGAGGCTTATAATGCGTCGATAATGATCGGGATAGTTTTGTGTGTTCAATTGTGAACAGCCGCTAGCAAGCCCACATTGTATAATAGTACATCACCATTTTCTAGTCTCTCTCGCATCTAGTTTATTGCTATCGTTTTATTTAGAATGTGTCAATAACGTTGAGTTGTATTATTGTTATTCAATTTGAAGTTATACAATTACTGTCACATGTGTTGCTAATCCAAACGCACCTCTGCAATGTCCTCAAAGGCCGGAATTTCATCTTTTATACTAATTTTGCTTGGCAAATATTTATTTTTCGGTGTGAATTCTATCATTTTGTATCGGATTAATTATGCATATTAAAAGATAGACGTTGGTTCCGCTCACCTCTCTATAACTTTATACAAGCCCCCACGCACACTCGAGCCGATACATAGAATGAGTTGTCCATTGAGCACAATATTCCTCTACATGCTCGAACAAGTATGGCATAAGATAACACGTGGTAGACGAATATTATTTATGATTCTATTTATGGATGACGTCATTGTTTATGAGTATGTATTACATGATTAATGGTACCACGTGTTAAAAATTTGCAATTATTCGAACAGATATAGAAACTGAGAAGAACGAGCAACCACCCACTGCATTCTTCAACGCTTACGCAGCCCGACACTCACGCCACTGAAGGCATGTAAAAAGACAAAGTGGCAAAGCGCTCCACATCTATCGCAGGTACGTGCTCAAATCCTAATATAGTCAGCATGATTTCCGTATACTTAAGATCCTGTATGTTTGAATTTGACTAAATCCCGTAACATGCCACAATGAATCATCTCGATCAATGACGTACAACGCATGAAATGATACTACAATTCAAACTTTTTTTTTTCTTCACAAAAACCAAATGTGTCATAATACGATAAAAATGACATTTAGTTCTCAAAACCGAAAAAAAAATATTGTAATTTGCACGCTCTTATAAAATGTCACGTTCTTTGTTGGATGAATATAGGCATATTTCACACAGATCTGTATGAATAATAACTTTTTTGGAAAGACGACAAACTTGAATACAGCAATGAGTGAATGAACATCATAAATGAAAATTACTTTCAGATCAATAAAAATGATGATAATAATAATAATAATAATTAATAATGAAGATCATAATGATGATGATGCTGATGATGATGACGACGACGACGACGACGACGTCGACGACGATGATGATGATGATGATGATAACAGGTTTAGTCTAATATCAGCCTATTATTGTAATAATTAAAAAAAAAAAAAATCACTCACCGCAATACATCGGCAGTTCACACAAATCATCTCAAAAAATGGCTCGCCGAGATTTGGATGCCAACTTGTATCAATGTCGTATACTTTACCACCAAAACTACAACCTGAAAAGATTAATATTATAATAATATTGAAAATGATTACCGGTATTTAAAATGCAAAAATAAATTAATGAAAACAAATATTATCACAAAAACTGGGTCAAATGCTTCAGGCTACCAAAGAATAATAAAAACACCAGTCAATGTATCAATTAAAGGTTACAGTTGTGGTTCTCTAGTCTGTTGTCAAGAATAAATCTTTTAACTAAGTAAGATCATTAGCACATAAATTATAGACTACTGTAAGGACTTAACACGTTTAGCCTGAAACGTATGACCAACAGTTGAACAAGATTGTGTGTAACTGTTTTTATAGTTAAAATACGAATAGCGATAATGTAGATGCGACTTATTCACTTGTATTGTTTTCATAAAGTAGCAAAAACCTTCATATAAGTTTTTCTGTCCTTCGATACAAGCTGTGAAAAATCTCTCGATTATGAAGGAAGGTGAACCTACAATAGAACCCCTCAGACCTTGAGTACACAGGCAGAAAATATGTAGCATACGATCCAAGATATCGAGCACATGTTTCAAAAGTCATCTTCTTAATTTTTGGAAACCAGCTGCGAGTTAAAATTTCTTTGGAAATGTTGATTGTAACATTCAAGTTTTGAACGTGTTGGGCCTACAAGGCTGGCGTGTTTCCAACTTCTCTATGTAGCGCTATACTTGAGACACCAAATCCCGGATTTTTAAAAGTTATCTTAAGACAGTTTTTATATATTTATCGGTGTGGTAATTAAATCTACAGTTGACCAATGCCTATACAAAAAGGAGAACACGATCGTTTGTTCCATGTAACTATATTGATTGAATTTATCTTCCATGATGTTATCTACAGTAGTAGTTGTTTTTGAAAACGTTCAGGTATATATCATTATAATTTATTTAATGATATTCAACTGGCAACAAATTTTATGTGGACTTAAAGACATGTAGAACAAATGTAGTGCTACTCGACGTTCTGCCCTTCGAATGGCTGTTTGTAGCCTCGTGTGCGGGTTGTACGCTAATGTAATTACGAGCAACGTGAACATTTTGCTATACAATACGTTAAGTAAACAACTTGTTTGTTGCCACTTTCGATTCTCCGCAATGATCACCTGAAATAGCACAATGTCTAAAGCATTACTAAAGGAAAATTGAACGATCTTGACGATGGGTTGGCATCATCGGCTAGATATTCAGATTCGACTGGGTCTAAACCTATTATAAAATGAGGCCAAACGAATATATATTTGTACCACGTGACTACACCAGCATAATTCCTAGCCTAGATAAATCAAGAAAAATGAGAACTCCAGATGCTGACAAACGAATTAATTTCAAATAGGCCTAACCTTCGAACTTGAAAAGAATGTCCGTACATATGAAATATGATATTAGTATAATACACGACAAATTTGTATGAATAAATAGTTTTGTCAGGTTTACTACAAGAATTATCATTGCTGAATGAAATATTGGAGACTATTATGATACCATGGTGATGGTGATAATTGTGGGTACCAATGATGTAAAATATAAGATTTATACAAAAGTCACAACAAAACAGGCACATAGGTCTACATATTGTCATCAAAAACGGCATAAAGCTCGTATACAATTAATTCCAAAAATAGTGCTTGAATCTTACTAATGTATTGCAATTATAGTACCACTGTATAAAGGGATATAGATGGCCCTTTTAAATATAGGCTCAATGTAAATGTTAAAGTATAAACGTGTGTTAGCGAAATGGGCACGGTATTCTCAATTGTTCAATATATACAGAAGAAGAAAAAGTAGAATAAGAAAGAGAAAGAGAAGGCAAAGGAGGAGACGGAGAAGAAGGATGAGGAGAAGAAAAAGAAGGAGTAGTAAGAAGAAGAAAGAGAAGCAAAAGTAGACGGAGACGGAGAAGGAGAAGCATAAGGAGAAGGAGATGGCGAAAGAGAAGGAGAAGGAGAAAGAAAAGGAGAAGGAAGAGAAGGAGAAGGAGAAAGAGGAGAAGGAGAAGGAGACAAAGACAGAGGAGGAAGAGAAGGAAAAGGAGAATGAGGTGAAGAAGAAAAAGAAAAGGAGAAGAAAGACAAGTAGAAGTAGGAGAAGGAGAAGAAGGAGGAAAAGAAGAACTAGAAAAAAGACAATAACTTAGGTAACACAAGCCATCTTAATTTTGTAATGTTATAGGCCTATCAAGGATGAGCGTAACAATTTCATGGTAATTGACGGTAGCTAGGTTAATATTTTAATTGGAAGATTTTAAAAAGTTCCTAGGGACACAACATTTTATTTGATATTTTGCAGAAATTGATTAGCCACTGTCGTGTTACGACCGTGAAATTGTTTGTGTCACGAACGACCTTCCTAATGAATGATTGGTATTATAGCGCACCTTACTAAAATGTATGGTGAATAATTATATTCGGAATTTAAGTTGGTAAAACGGGATTCTTTTACGTTGTTTTCCTATACCGCATATAATTTAAAATGTAAATAATATAATGTGGTCTATTATAATACAAGTCCTCTATGTAGGTCTACTTCAAATACTTACACCGGTGAATCAAACATAATAATACTATTAGGCCTTTTATTATATACGGTAGACAATAATTTTAGGTATTTTGCCAAATGATGCAAGGCCACACAAAAAGCATATTTGACGAAAAATTCGGGAACGGTTAATGAGACACAGGTTTTCGAATATTTAAAAACTGGTGGAAAAGGTGAAAAATGGTGGTTACACCCCCACCCTTCCCCCCCCCCAGTTTTTTTAATTTCCCAAATATCTATATCTCACTGACCGTTCCCGAGTTTTTCGTCAAATATGCTTTTTGTGTCTTAGATAAATCAGTTGTACAACATAGCCTATCAATTTTTTCCCTCCGGAGCCTGGCTTTAAAGGCAACAAAATTGTGAGCATCAGAAATTGAACTAGGCGTTTGGGAACAAACAGGCATGGACCAGTAACGGGACCGACAGAGAAAGTACAGTAGAGTGAAACAAAAAAAAATTGGACTGCAAAGTACGGTATTATATAACCTGACACTGGGCACAAGTAGCCAATGAACCTGATGAAAGATGAGTGATGCACTTTACACTGAGGCTGAAATTGGTTAAAAAATTGAGAGCAAAATAAGAACAAATTGAGGCCGAGATAAAATGTCAAACAAGGTTTTTAATTTTTTTCATTGAAAAACCGACAAATCTTTTCTGTACCTTAAATATGTGACTATGTAATACCGTACTCTCTATAATACAGTACAATAATATACTGCTGTACAATAATAATTTTCTATGTTTGAAAAGTTTAAAATTAAGAACAAAATAAGAATACTTTTAGCCTGAAATCGGCAAAAATATAAGAACACTGAGTCTGGGCAAAGTTTTACTGGTTCTTATATTTTTTTAAAAATTGTATTTATAGTATTGCGTTTGCGGCAAACATTTATTCTGAAGATTTTTAATACCTCTAACATTCTTACAGTAATAGAGCAATACGGTCATACTTAGCTTCCGGTGGGTTTTATTCTTTTTAGCTATTTATTATCGGAATTCGACCTACCACCAGGTAGCTGTACCCACCAGGCCTATATATTCCTGGGTTGAGAGAGATAATAATATGGGCAAACCACATCTTAAAATCCCAATCCTAAATTCTTATAGTACGGTATGTTCTTAATGGACAATTACTTCATAAATCAGAAGCCTCTACAATATTGATAATAAAAGCAATAACAAAATATATTAAAGTCAACAGATCTTAAATAAACGCATTACAAAACATTGGGTATACTTCCATATATAGGCCTATCCATAGCTACACCATAAATCACATAAGGTCCGATAAATCATTGGACTTCTGACCTGTTTATGTGTAGATACATTTTTTGAAGACATATCGACTACAATTAGAGTAGTTTCTGTTTCCTGGAGAGTACTAAATCCGTACCGATTGGTGCTTTTTGGCATGTTACCTCTCACCCTGATAAAGTTTACAATTATGAGCTAGTTACCCGGCGACACCCTACTTTATTCGGTTCAATTAACGTTAAGGACAGGACCTAGACCTAGTTTTATTGCTGCAGATTATATGTCTATGGGTATCGTTATTAGAAGTTCACTGGCTCACCATACACCCTGCTCTTTGCATCATCTTTCTTCGGGTGGTATTGCTGATGACATCAATGTACACCACTGATTAATGTGGTTCATGATGTTTTCGACAAACTCCATAAGTCCGACACACTCAAGAAATCTTAATAATTGTTTCCGCTGGCGGAACTATCCACTATGATATTCTGAGCTAATCATTCTGGCAAGTTCTGAGTCAGGGAGAGTAGTGTCTCTGGCCGATGTCCTTCTGGGAACGTTGTTCGTTGCCATGATAGCTCAAGCTTCCGGTTTCTTTATTGCTGAATTAGAGTCGCTAGTTTAAAATTCTAGGCCTATAAAATATTGACTTTCATATAAAATAGAATTCGTGTGAAAATTCTTTGTTTTTATTTTTTTTTCTTTGTTTAGAAATTGTCAATTAATACCATTAACACATAATATTACGAATTTGAAATAATGAAAATTTGTAACTGAAATAAATTTGAAATAAATAGCCGACACACCCAATCTAAAAATTGAAAGACACTTTTAAACAAATATTAAGAATTAAATTGTTTTTAGTTGCCATGGTTATTGGTCAAATTTTCACTTACATTTGTGTTCATGTTTTTAAAGTGTAACGACCTCGATCGTTTCGTCACTTAGTGATATCAAGCCTGCACATCGGAAACAAAGTCTGTATTCTGCAAACTCCAATCTAAAACTGGTGTACACAACAGTATACTAAAGCTGATAGTAAATTTTTATGTCTACATATATGTCAGAAACAATTTTAAATAATATGACTACAAAACTATAAATAGGCCTACTCTAATCCAATGAGATTAAAATGAGGTACAGGAGGCTGGAAGTTCGGTTAGGCCTATCCGTCAAAATGACACAGGATCGAAACGTGTATGTTTTTCTGACAATACAAGATACCATAACTATTTCTTTTCCGATCTGTAATTTTTATTCTGTTTATCTCCCAGTGAGTACAGGCCTCTCTGGTGTGAGGCAAATTTCTGGGCAAGTAAAACATTTTACTCCTTATAAAATGGCCAGGAAGGGATCCAAATTCCTAATAATAATAATAATAATAATAATAATAATAATAATAATAATAATAATAATAATAATAATAATAATAATAATATAGGCCTATATATGCATATATATATATATATATATATATATATATATATATATATATAAAGTGGCAACATAGGATAATCTGTAAAGAGAAAACGACGTGGAGAGAGACGGAGAGACCATAGATGAAGAGATAACAAGAGAGAAAGAGAGAAAACACATATTTATAGTGGCCTGTATTAATTAGGCCTAATAAGTATTTTATCCAAATCGGACTGTCCTCAGGTTAAATACCGAGTCACTACTGCTGTTACTCGTGGCATGCATTCGTTATGATTCGAACGTGAATGTGTTTTTCGAATAATATAATAATAATAATAAGGGTTCAGCTAAAACCATGAATGGGTAGCGTATATGCCTAATCTATTTTAAAACACTTCTCTCGGTACACATCAGTGGAGGACTATTTTGAATTTAGGCATTCTAGAACTGTTTACATGAAAAACAGGTGTCACACATTTGCGCTCTCTCTTTCTCTCTTGTTATCTCTTCATCTATGGTCTCTCCGTCTCTCTCCACGTCGTTTTCTATTTACAGATTATCCTATGT